TTTTTTTTTTTTTTGGGTTAATTCATGTGTTTTTATGTGTTTTATTTGTGTTCGTTTTATTTTATTTTAGATTTTTCCCGATCCATTCAGTCGCATTTGCTCATTTTTGTGTTTTCGTGTCATTTTAGTGTCTTGTGTTTTTTATTTCTCTTTTTATACTTTATTTTGTAGGAAAATTGCATTCTGGAGAGTTTCTCGAGAAAACCCCTTATGTTTTTTGATGAACAACGAGGTGACCGTGCCGACTGTTTAGTAAGATCTTGGTGTGGGTAAAGGATAACCGAGTTACCCGACTCGGGTCGATCTCGAGGGAAGGCTATTCGGAGCTTTACTTACTATTCGATCGCTCAAATCACAAAAAGGGAAAAATAAAACCTAAACATTCTAATCAATTTGGGTTGAGATAGTTTTAAACTAGCAACGACCTAGAAAGCGAGTAAACGAGCAAAAAAGCAAGTGAACAAACTATGGAATCCTAGCAACTAAACCGGTGAACAAAGTCAAGAGCAACAAAAGCGAAAGTAAGAGAAACGAACTCCATTTAGCATGCTTAAGAGCCAAAATCGAAATCCTACTACGAAATAACCGAGCTAAACGTCAAGTCACGATTTTTCAAGTAGCAATCAACAATCAATCAACCCCAAGCATCGTAAATGAGCTCACAAAAGTAAAGGAAACGACAACAACTAAAATAGCTACTAAAAATCTAATAACCGAGCAAGCCCTAAATACTTCTAGGCACGAAATAACAAGTAAGTACGAAAATCGAGATCACAAGGCTTAAAAGTAAGTACTCACATTCCTAACGCATGTTTGATCGAAATCGAAAGAAAAAGATTAAAACTTTGCATAAACGAGAAGTCACCGGAAAAAGTCGCCGGAAAACGTAAATAACATCCACCTTAATCTAGAGAGAAATAAAGACTAAAGCTAAGAACCAAAAAGGGAAACATTTCATAATGAGCTAGATAGTCCAAAATGCAAAGAAAAAATTATATTTATACTCCACACAAACACATAGTAGAAAAACGCAGATTTAGTAGGACACTCTCGACCAAGCCACGGAATTCGCGAGTACGCGGCATGAAGACGAGCAGACGCACACGGGGAAGACATGCTCTCGATGTCGCAGGGACGGGCGCAAGCGCGCAAGTGCGTGAAGCGTTGGGCGGCGTGCTCTCGATCACGCGAAGAGAACCGCGAGCGCACGAGCGTGCTGGACGATGGACGACAAACTCTCGACATCGCAGATGTGCACGCGAACTCGCAAGCGCGCGAGGCGCTGGGGCTGGGAGATGAAACTCGACGTCGCGGACGTACGTACGAGCTCGCGAGTGCGTGAGGAGCTGCGGCACGGCTGGGCAACTTCCGGTATGAAATCGTCTAAGGCTCGGAATTCTCGGAGATGAAAGCATCTCGTACTAAATATGGCTTGAAACTTCTCAGAAACTCGACTTCTTCAGGACATGCTCGTCGCTCGGAATGTGGCTCGACGCCCTCTGAATATGGCTCGACTCTCTCGGAATATGGCTCGACTCTCTCGGATTATGGCTCGGAATAAACCTGAAATAATACCAAAAGCACGGAAAAGTACTCCAAAATATAAAATAAACAAGAAAAACATAAAAACACACGATAAACCACAAAATGGACCGGTCGACACTAAAATAAACCTAAAATCGACTCAAAAGCACACAAACACATAAAAAATACGCACAAAAACACAATAAACACCGACCCGAGACGAGGCAAAGAATTGATTATTTTGATTCAAAATCTCAAGTCAATCGGAGAAGTGTGCGATGAAATAGAGCTAATCGAGCCTCATGAACCATATTTGCAAGCCGCGAAATCTGAACTCGCGAGCTCCAGCTCGCGTGTGCTGCCTCTCGCGCCCGTAGATTCCAATTTTGCAAGCTCCAGCGCGCGAAAGTTTCGATCTTTCTTCTAAAATTTGCATCTTTCATCCTTTGCTCTTAATGTCTTAGCTTAATTTCATGCAAATCAATCCCCACCAAGCGAGTAGAATGTGTAAGACCCTGTTTTCGATTATGTGATTTTGACGACAAGGTAGTGAACGAAACTACGAATAGACTTCCTTTGAGAATGACCCGAGTTGGGTAGCTCCGTTAACATCGACTATCTCCAATAATACTACAAACAAAATGGGGCCGTTGCCGGGGTGGCGAGTATGCCAAATTTATTATTCAGTTGTCGTTTGTTTACATGTTTCTATTGCTTTTTGTGATTTTTCTTTATTTTCGGTTTCTCTTGATTATTTGCTTATTTTTTTATTTCTCTTGGTTTTTTATATTTGTGTTCTTGTAAATATTTTCCGTGCTAGTTATGTTTTGTGTTTTTCTTTTCTTTGCCTTGTAAGTATTGTAAATAATTTTACCGGAGTAGAATCGAAAGATTCGACACCGGGTCGTATCACAAGGAAGGTCAACCGGAATATTAAGCACGTTTATTCACACACGAATGAAAGAGAAAATAAAAGAAATAAAATTCCTAAACATTCTAATCAAAGATTGGTTGGTTTTTAATATCGACTACTGCAAATAAATAGAATAAAGCAAGTAAATAGCAAACTATCACGTAGACCAAATAAGGATTAAGAAGCTAGGGAGTCGGGGATATCTGTTTTGCTTCGGAATGCGATTATCAAGCAAGCGATTGTTCGGTTAAGTGAGTTGAATAACTGGTACGTTCAAGTCCTCATTCTCAGTAACTTTCAAAACAAGAGAACAAACTTAGACGACGAGTTAACAATTCATTTAACACCTAGGCAATACAATTACGAACAAGCCTAGTTTGTATGGGCCTATTTCGACCGACTCCTCCCCTTTCGGTTCTAAGAGTCGATAAAATTGAACTAGAGTGTGATTAATCAACTAGCCCGTTTAGAATTAACAACATCAAGCATGAATTTATCAAATCCAATTGAAACAATTGAAAATTGAAGTGTCACTCTTCAACAATTATCAAAACTAAAGAACAAATAGACGAAAACCCTAATAAGATTAACTCGCACAAAGTGAACAATCTTAAGCCCGACAATCGCAAGCGAATTCAAAACATCGATCCCCTAATCCCTAGCAATCGAATTTAGCTACTCATATTCATATAATCAACACAAGAAATCTCAGCCCAAGAACTCATATTCAACGATTAAGTAAAAAAAGAATCTTACGATTGATAAATCTCAACGGTTGAATTCGGTAAACAAGCTTGAATCCAAGAGAAATAACAAAATCCGAATGTAAATCCTTGTTCCACGTTCAAAATTATTGAAGAAAAGTGAAAGAACGAACTCAAAGAAGAGAAAAAGGGTTTCGGTGTTTTTTTTGTTTGTAAGATGCCTCCCCCCCTGTGCGATCCGAAACAGATATATATACTACACGCGACACGGCGTGATAAAAGCGGCAGCACGGCGCGGCAAGGGGGCTCGACGCGGCATGGAAAGGTTTCGCGGTGTGGCAGGAATCATCCTCGCGGCGCGGTGGGAGCTCGCGACGCGGCGACAGGGACGATTTGAGTTCTCTGTCGGTCTCGTGG